GGACGGCGAAGGAGCCGGCCAGGCCGGCGTTCAGAATGAACGAGTGCGCGGAGAACGTTTACGACGGTGTATCGAACCGGGCCGAATTCACCGGTGAGAATGCTACGGCCAAACAAAGCGCCGACACCCCGCCAAAAATGGAGCACCACACGAGCAATATCTTTAGCAACGGCAGGTGCGAGTTCGGCCAGAATCAGGAGAGTTTCTTCGCCGCGAAGAGTTATGGTATCCCGAAAGGTGATGGTTTTTTGCCTAGAAATAACGGCAATCCTTATGGGCAGAGGGGCGACATTCTTTATTTGGGTGCCACGTACAGCGTGCAGAGAAACGAAAACTACGTTCAGAGCCAGCAAGGCGGCAAATGCGAGCCGTCCAGGTACCACCAAAAAAACGACGCTCTCCACGTCTCGCCGATGGAGTACCCCGGCCAAAAGGCGAAGGAGAGCATGCAGAAGATCAAAAACGGCACGCCGGGTATCGAGGTGTTGAGAAAGAGACGGCTAGCGGCGAACGCGCGCGAAAGAAGAAGGATGAACAGTTTGAACGATGCTTTCGATAGGCTACGGGACGTCGTGCCTAGCCTCGGCAATGACAGAAAGCTCAGCAAATTCGAGACTTTACAAATGGCGCAAACGTATATCGCGGCGTTGTACGAGCTGTTGCAAAGGGAGTGAAAACTCTTGCGACGAAAAGCTCCAGATAGCCTTCGAAGGACCTACTTTCTTTGAAAGAAGGAAGAGAACGACGAGAGGCAAAGGCGAGGAGCGTCCCTATCCGGTGAAGAGAAGAATCGAGCGCGTAAAAAGGCTCGAAGCTAAAGTACTGCATCAATTTCGAGCAAATTCGTTGACGGAGGGACGCGGATGGCCAAAACAGGCGTCTCAAACTCTCCGGTTCTTGCAACCGGAGCATGGTTTTTCGCATCACCGTGAAATCTTTCGTCACCTGCGAGAACGAGGGGAACTGTAGCTACGTAGTCGCTCATCGACGACGACAGAAATGGTCTTGAAACGATGTTCGAGCGAACGTCCAGCTGGAAGAACGCCAGGACGAATGGGATCGAGCTGAATATCGTGGAAGCTTCGTTGCACGGTCCACGATGTCAATCGGCGCGTAAAGGTAAAAATGGTACGTAACAAAAATCACGAAGCGTCGTTATCAGCGCAGATATTAACGATTACAGACTAAACCACGGAATCGTCGTGTTTCCCAACTTTCTCGTAGAACGTGGTCGAGCCGCATTTCTCGGCGAGGAGAATTTTAGTTTCGATCCCGGCGGATAGTTTAATTAGCAATAATTGCCGCGTGCAGACGCGGTACACGATGCTACTCGTTAATGCTTTTTCCTCGTTCGGCCTTGTTGCCGGATTCCGCGATATTTTTCGCTTGATCGAACCGCGATAACATCGTTGATACGCGAAACGCAACGAGTTTGATGAACTTGCTAACCCTAGGGGATGAGATCTAAGGGGAGGCAGAATAGAAGACGAGATTATTTAAGCGTATTACGAGACAGGTCGACGCGGAATACACCTCGTTCGCTTTGCTTAGGGTTTAAGGATGATTTGCATTATCCATACGGACATCGGTACAAATTTCGTTATGGTATTGTATAATTCTTTATACAGCGTGTTACGTTCCACCATAAATATTTTTCTATTTATGAGAATGAGATTTTCTCCGTTCGATAATTAAAAATAAATACAAACTAGCATGGAACGACGTGCACTGGTACGATACGGAGAAATATTCTTACGTCGATACTGTCAGATACCATAATGATGAATCACTACCGTAAACGTTATTCGACTATTGTCCGAACGATTATTTTCCTCGCCGAATGCGTAATGTAAACCGATCTTTAGACAAACAGCGGAAACGAGCTTCGCCTGAAGTTTCGTTGTAAATAGTAAAATATCGTGTAGCGTGTTTTAGTTGTAGGATTTGTGTAAATATCTAATTAGATACAATTAAGTTATTGCGACGTTGTTATAGATAATTCTGTACATATATAAATAAACGGACAGGGATCTCTCGATCGCGATGATCGATCCATGTGACTGCGAAAACGTAATATCGTCTGTAGGCGAGATTCACGACGGTACTTCATATTGCGAAACGCGTGGCTGATCGAATCGTTTTTAAATCGTTCGATTTTGGAACGTACGACGACTTGGATTCCGCGTGACAAAAAATTAAACGTCGAGCTACAAGTAGCTCCGAAAATTATTGGCACGTCGTTGTGCCTGTTGCGACATTTACGTACCAATTGATTACGCTCGAGCGTGTTAATGCGACTAGAAAAATTCGAGATCCGACGATGAAAATCGAACGTAGAAACCGATTAAAAACGCTTCGTTCGAAGCGAAGGGTAGGTGGAAACACTTTCTGTAGCCACTGTGAATGATTTATAAGAAGAAAGTCGATGGCAAATAACGACGTAAGAAAAGATTAAGTACCTCGTCGATTACAAGGGACAACGAACTTTACAGTCCATTAAAAGATTTCAAGATAAACCAAAGAATCCGTAGACGTTAAGTAAGACACACTGCGTTCACCTCGATTATTTTCCCGGTTACGAACAATTGTATACAGCACCAGACATATAAAATTGGAATTACACGTTTAATTGTATTAACACGATACGATAGAATCAGTTCTATTTGATTAAATTTACATACGAAATGAAATTTGTGTCGTTATTAACCCTTAACTATAGATCTCTCGTCTATCAGAGAAGGTTCGACTCTTACTTCGTTCTTAATAGATCACAGAGTATTATGCCAATTGTATATTTTTACAAAATACCATCTAAACAGGCGTTTTACGTACCTTTTGCATATCGTACGTGAGCTTACGCTCTTAAATTGTTCGCATAAGCGCGATGCATAAAAATCTACGATCCGATCATTACGATGTCGATTTAAGCAGAACTTGACGAGTTCGACCACTCGAGTACCTTCGTCGACTTGTTGAATCAATAGTAAAAATATGGACGCGTGTAATTAAGGGTTAATACAAACGTGTTTAGAAACATTTTTAAGCAAATCAGACAGCTTATCGTTCGTCTGAAACGAACTACCGATTAATCGTTGAAATATTGGCGCGTTTCTCGGAACGCGTA